ACTGATTTTCATGCCAGTTTACAATCCCTGCTAACAGGATGTTCATTCCACCGTCCCTAGCCTGCAAAATGACACTTGGGCTTTGAGAGTCGACGGAGCTTTCCCTTCTTCTTTTCTACCATGACCAGGAATGAACTCCTACAGGCAATGTTTTGTCCTCAGCTGCACTTAGGGAAAACCTTATGTTCATCCTGGGAGCTGTTTGTTCAATGCCTGCCAGGGTACGGTGAGCAGCTCTGCTGCTTAATTTTAGAGAGTATTTTGTCAGCGCCTCTGACAGAATACACAGCAGACTGAGCTGCTCATATAGAAGGTGCCATTTCTAGTCAAGCCCTATCTCGAAACACATCACACCACGTGTCTGATGTATCACTGCTGTTTAACTTATCTGCCTACTGCACAATCAGTGGCAAACTGCATGCAGCTCTGAGCACTGCTCAGCTCTCTGGCACTTTCCAAGTTTCTCTGCATTTCTAAGCACAAGTTCTGCCTGTGATACCAAGAAAACCAAGTCTCCCCACTTTAGGACTCCTACATGAGATCCTGCTTAGTAAGACACAGAGCAAATAATGCATCCAAATACTTCTGCAAAGGGCAGGTGAAATATTCTTCTCCACTGTTATTGCACCAGGTACCCGACACCTAACTGCTGAGCCCAGGACTGCCATGCCAGGAAACCGAGGGAGCACCATGAGAAAGACAAAAGGAGGTGCTGGTGTACAGGAAGACTTGTCCAGCCAACAATCAGACTTGTCTGATTGTTCCACTTGGCACTTGTAGGCTAAACTGCAAAATGAAACCCTTGAAAGATACCTCCTTGATCCTGACCTACTATATTGCTATCATGTTGCATTTTACACCAGCAGTGCTAAAAAAGGAGAGAGTTTTAAAAGAAGGAGGCAGCTCAGCTTAGGGCATTTGTTCTGAGGCTGGAGACTCCCTTCTCACTGCCACATGTCCCAGGGACCTGCCACTTGTCACCGTGTTCTCTGGTTCACATGTACAGAGATGTATGGCCAAGGCCATCTTCTCACCTCAGCTTAGTCTGCAGATTAGGGCTCAACATCAAGTTACCACAGTTCACCAAGTTTCCATGAGTCAGCTGAGACAAGGTTCTGCCCACAGCAAATGCAAGGTAATGCGACTTAACCTGATCTGCAGTGAAAGAAAATCAAGCTAAGCCGCATTATTGCACTTTTGCCATCAGTGAAGAGAGAAGTCCTGGGGCTCATCCCCCAGGGGCAGCGTTCAAACCACGGGGACTTGGTCATGTGTGATTACTTCCTGTGCTGGTGTGCAATATTTCTGCACACAGACCTCATCCAGCTACGAAATTTACACACTTCTGGCTTACTGTTTTAAGCAGCAGAAAATGTGGAGGTCATGCCTTGTAACACAGAGCAACAAAGGACAGAATGCCCCAGGAAGAAGATAAAAATCTTAAAAGCTCCTAGGAACTGCAAGGGAACAGCATAGCTCTGGATACCCCAGGAAGATCATTGAACTGTGAACTGACAGGGCTTCAAATAATGTTGAAACATAAATATTTCTTCAGTCCCTCTCAAACTCTAAGTGCTTACAAGAACATATATGCTGGTTTTAAAATGGTTGTTTTCCCCTTTCCCTTCCCAATGCATCCTGAAACAAAGAGAGGCTACTGCAAAACTCACAAGTCATAGTCCCCATTTCACATCTTCTGGCCCAGAGTTTGACAAACTGACTGGGAACACCAGACAAATGGGACTTGCATTTTCCATTACTTCAATCTACAGATTGTGAGATGAACTCATTAATTCCTTTGGACAACACACAGTGAAGACTGCCTCTTGCACGTGCAAATAAAACTAGAGAATGCATCTACAAAATTGAGAAGTGATATGAAATAGTGTGTGCTGTCTGCCATCCTTCCTGTGTGGAGTTATTGCTAATGAATCACTCAAAAGTCTGACTGACTATGCTATTTTATACAGGATACACCACTTTGCCTTCAAAAGCTTTATGAAGGTAGTTATGATTACAAATGCAAATGACAGCAAAGCAGAAAATTTCAATCTGAGGCACAGCACACCACTGCTGTCCTGCTGATTTGAGGTCTGCAGATGTTCCCATCACAACTTCAGCTACAAATCACTCTTTAAGTACATGCAATGCAGAGAAAGAAAGGGATTGTTAATAATTTAAAATAATACCAATCATTAGTGGTAGTCAGGTAAAAGAATAACCTTAGCTCACTCTGTAAATGTTTATACAATAGTATTTTCTGCAGCTATGCCCTCTGCAGCTGTAAGCTAATTCTTACTATTCCAAATTTCGTGAACTGTGGGAAGCATTACATGTCTGCTGGCCTGGGGTCACAGCACACGTTGTGCTTTCAAACACGTGTTGTACGGGAGTAACAAAGGAGGTGAGCCTGGCCTCAACACCCCAAAACTACTGAGCAAAAACAAACTGAGAGATTAGGTTCTGAGCCAGAAGTGTCTTGTACAATGGAAAGGAGGTGGTATGCAGTCACTTAAATAAAAGGCAACATTTTAAAAGCTTCAGTCACATGCAACTGCTGTCAGCATTAAGAAGATGGAACCGTAGAAGGTATCTGAGTTCACCTTCAGTAAATGCCAGCTTCCATAGGTCTGGGCTGCTTTGGACGTGGGTGTCTGCACTGAGCCAGGAGCTTGGAAGCTCGGCAGGGATCCTCTGGTGTCACCTTGTCCTGCCAGCACAGGGTGGTGATGGAACGGCGGCACTGGTCATTCCCAGCTGGCAGAGCGGTGTGTTGGTCAGTGCACACCCACTGACCTTCCTTCAGCAGTCTGGCCAGGCTTCTTCTGCTGAAAAACAACCCTAAGGTACATGACTTTCAAAATCCACAGGGTGATGGATATGGGAGAGAGGGCCAGAACCTCTCCAGGTAAAGCAGAAAATTGCCTTCAAGAAGGTAGGCACAGACTGTCCTTCAAAGGGTTAGATTTGTGCACATGGTGTCTAATTAAGTTTTGGGAGAAGGAGATAAGAGAACATTTTCATCAACCAGAAGAATTGGTGCAAAACTTGCCAGTGTTGCTCATAACACCTGAAAGTGCTGGATATTAAAATCTGTTTGCGTCTGTGGTTGGGCCCCCTTTGCTTTCTTATTTTCCCACGCCCATCTCAGCTCAGTATTTTGATGAATGTAATGGAAATATATAATCAACTGGATTTTTATGATTGTTTGAGACAAAGATGTGTACTTGAAGACATTTATTGAGTGTCATTAGCCACTCATAAAAATTTTAGTACAACTGATTAACAATGTTATTTTCAATTTACTTTTATTTTCTCTTAACGTGCTTTGCCCTTCACACCTGGCAAAGCAAATGGTATGGAAAAAATGAAGTATAAGATTGCTTCTGTCAGTTATTGTACATGCTAGCTAGTGTTCCACAGAAGATTATTTATGCTCAACTACTTATTCATGACTTCTAATTAGTACTTAGCTAATCATCATCTGCAGAGCAGACTTCTTTTACTTGGTTTATTTTAAATTAAGGCTACTGGGGATTAGCATCGACAAGGTCACTTGACAAAATGCCAACTTTGCCTGTCAGACAAAGGTTACTCTAACGAGCTCATGAATTCCCAACACCGTGCACTGCCTGCATGGGTAGCTCTCCAACAGAATCACAAAGCAGACGTAGCTAATGACTGATTAATGCCAATTTAGTCAGCATAATGCCTCCTGTTGCTAAAGCTTTTCCAGCTTTTCTTTTGCAACAGTACTTGTAAAGTCCCTAAGAAATCCCACGTGTACTAGCTTTGCATACAGCAACTTTGACCAAAGGGTAAAATTTTGCAGCAGCAAATTTTCAGAACTCCTGCACCTAGGCGGAAAGATAAACATTCAACATTTCTCTCAAGAGCTGATCTTTTTTTGTTTTAATTTTTATATATATAAATATATCATAAAGCATACCATTTCCTCATTTCAGTACAGATTTTTTGAACTTTACTAAAATAAATGAAATATAAATGCTACAATTTTATGTTTAAAACAAGTTTTGATGACAGCCTTCCCCTAAGAGCAGGCCCAGAAACTCAGTTAGCTACATGGAGAGAGACAAAAACACCCCCAAAACTTCCTGCTATGCTCAGATGTGCCTTAGCTGGAGCTGCTTGCAGGTGTCCGTGAGCTCCTCACGTGAATGTCCACTCTCCCTAGTAGCAACTGCTTTATTACTAACCTGAAAATTTCACATTCAACATCTATCTCCCTTAAATTCATTGTCAAGACCCAGCTTTTCATATCTGTGTCTGCTTTTGCTGATCCCAAATGGCAAGAGGTATTGTCAGTTGTGGATTTGGAGATCAGGATTGCAAATTGCTGAATTTTCAGATAAAGCCATATGACATCAACCACTGTAAACCTAGTAAAAAAATGTCAACTTTCATTTTGTCCCTTCTCCTTCACAACCCAGAAAGTGTTCACAGCATTGAAGCAACAAGGCATAGGAGTGGATGATACACCCCACACACATTTTGCACTTTCATACTTCTTCCCAGTCCTGTCTTTGATCTTAACTGGTGCCTCCTGGACCGGAGAGGAGGTTCCAGGTGAATCCTACCCCACCCATCACAACCCCTTTGGTTCAGCCTTACTACACATTCAGGTCCTGCAGGTGAATACCTAACAACTAAAGCAGCAATCTAAAATCTGTCAGTGAGTCTTGCTGCCAAGGGGTTTGTTGTTGGTTTACTCCTCCTCAACACATACTTTCCAAAACAGATGCAAACAAACAAACAAACAAACAAAATGAAATTTTAAAAACAATGATAACACTACATTATCTGTTTAAAACAGTACTGCCCGTGCTCTGGACAAATTGTTAAGAGCAATTCAGCATTCTTATAATTAATCCACAACAAAATAAGCTATAAGATGCCACAAATGAAGGCAATAATTGGCCATACAGAGGCAACACTACCATGAATGTTGTTTGGCAAGAAAAAAAAAAAAAAAAAGCAGATACATAATTCATCCAAAGGACAGGTTCAGAACTGCCCGGCACTGCTGGGATCACACTGCAGGAGACGGACTATGGACGGATCACTCTTGGCACCTCGGATGAACTCTTCCAGAGAGAGCTTTCCTAGAAAAGAAACATGTTTACTCAGCACATGTGGTGGGGTGCAGCGCACCTGCCAAGCCTCTGGACAAGCATGATGGAAGGATGCTGGGGAAGCCAGGAAAATCCCTGGGAAGGCAACCCTGCAAGGCGAAGTCGTGCCTGCCCTCACCCTGTTGGACTCGCAGATGGTCCCGTGTGTCAGGACACCCCAGCCACCCCTCCCGGACGGTGCCTACCATCACGGTTGGTGTCCATCTGGCGGAAGATCTTCTCAGTCCTCTTCTCTGGTGTTGACTCATCTTCTGGCATCTTCATTACAGAAGAAACCATCTTATAGATTGCCTGTGCAATAGACAGGAGCAGAGAGCTGGTAAGAAGCACATTATCTTGATGCAAGAGTACGATGATCTTCTTGTGACAGAAACAGGAAGAAAATATCCTCAGAGCACCAGCAAGACCTGCTCTTTGGATGCTGAAGGGTGTTGGGTGGCACCAGTGCATGCAGCTTCCCTCTTCAGTGGGACACTCTTTTATGAAATACTGTGTTTCTTTATCTAGTCATAGCCAAACACCATCTGGGTTTGGACTAAGGCTACATTTTTCCTTATCAAAACAGTCTTTGGACAAATTTATCATTTGTACAACATAAAAGGCAATGGCAGCTCCCAGAGGTTGGAGGAACAGCCAGATCACCACAGTCTTGTCCCGTGCTGTGATGAATCTCCCTGCTTTGGCCACACAGGCTTCATCCTCACCACACCTGTCTTCTCACCCTGCCTTTGCTTCTTCCCCATCTCCTTTCCATCCCTCCCTCTCTGTCAGCATCCTATCTGTGGGCAGAGCAGTGACTCACTTCTTGCATTTGCTGCATTTCACAGATAACGAAGATTGGACTATCAAGGAGGTGGCCTTTTCACTGGGGGTTGGTGCGTGTGCACAGCTCAAAATCCCTTTCACAATTCGCTCCACAGAGACCAGATGTTCTGGTCCTCCAGAGTGCCACTACCACACATAGCTATTCTCTGCACAGACAAAGTCACCTCTGGTACTAGCTGCCACTGAAGGAGGGGTGATGTTAATTTTAAAACAAGGATGAGGATCTGTCTTTGCACTGGTTATCCAAACTTTGTGGCACACACGAGCATGCAGCACCAGGACACACCAGGGCTTTGTGTTAGGTATCTCGGCGCTGCCACACCTGGGAGAGCAGCAGCGCTCAGGGGGCTGCAGGGTGGTGGCCTTGGGGCTCCTCCCAGCCATGTGGAGGGGCAGCACATCCCAGCCCAAGGCAGCGTTGTCCTGGTCCAACTGGCCCCTTCCGCTGCCTGCTGCAACTCATTGGCTGTCACCTCACTGCTTTAGTTATTTGTTCTTCCTTTCCTCCTGCTTTGGCAGGGGGGGTCCTTGGTGCAAGCCAAGATTTCTCATTGGGTTATCCCTCTCCCCTCTTTCCCTTCATGAAGGCACTCTGCCTAGCAGCTCAGATCATCTGGCTCAGGATCCCCAAGGACTGGCTCCAGGAATGTAAGAGCACAGATGGATGATGCCACTAAAGCAGCACAGACATTTTACACTCAGACTAGGGAGCATCCGCTTCCTTGGCCATCTTGGTGGCTTCTCCTCTGCCAACAGCTCACCCTTCACATCTCCCAGGAGAATTAGTGTTCCAGAGTACTGGGCAGAGCCTCAGTAGAGGCAGGGATGCTGCCCACACAACCATGATACTCTGATACCAGGAGCACAGAAGAAAGGATGAACATGCAAGTGTGTAAACACAGGGATGAAGGAGCTGGGGGAAGGAGGCAATAGGGAAGGAAGAAAATGGAGAGGGTGGACAGTAAGAATTTAGACCTTGCTGATCCTCATCAGCATGCAAGGCTTGCAAGGGTCACAGCAGAGATGAGGCCTATAAATCTGCCAGTGCTTAAGCATTTGAAGCTGTCTGGCTTTTGTCTGGGGTAGGAAGAGAGGTGGAGGGGTCACTCCCTCTCTCTGGGTGAGAGGACGGCGAAGCAGAGAATCTGCATTGAAAGTGTGGGAGGAATGTCCCAGACTGGGAGTGGGGGGCATGTTTACCCTGATCAAAGTAACCATAGTAAGAATATGCAGATTTTTAGGACAAAAAAAGCACTTCAGGATGACTTCATCCTACAGGGTCCTTTTCACAGAGGCGTGTGAAGGGAATAACAGATGAGATATTCTAGGAAAGCCAGATGGGAATAACATAGTAAGCGTTCCTTTCATGCTGAAAATGGTTACTCTGGACAAATTCTTATGTCCTTACTCAGAAGTTCATTGGGAAGTTTTCCCAAAGTAAAAGCCAGCTAAAGCTGATTAAGAATCTTGAGATTTGCCCCATACTAATTCAGTGCAGCTACACAAAACTCTTTATTGTATGTTTGAAAGAGCAAGCTCTGAAAGGAATTTGGTTTCCTGGGATGATTACATAGAGCTGGACTGTACTAACCCTGGGTTAAGACCTGGGACTGAAAGGCTGCAGGGGTTCCACTCCCCATGGAGTGCGACTCCTCTGCCTCCCAGAACCTGGGCTGAAAACCACTAGGGGCATTCAGCACTGGAAGTTGATACCTGTCTGCAGTCTCCTGAGTCAGGGCAGCTTTAATAGGTGAACTTCTATCAGGAGTGCTCCTTAGAGCTCCCTGGCACCCTGGAATGCCACCAGGAAGTTGTGCCTCCAGAGCCCTGTGTACGTCACTGGAGCAAGCACAGGCTCCAGATTCGTCTGCTGCCCTGCTGAACTGTCTCCTTTGATTTTCCAACTCCATGTGGATGAGCAGCAGTGGGTGATTTTAGAGCAAATCTCATCCCTTTGCCCATTCTCACAGGTTTTTCTCCCAGCTCCTGGCTGCCACTGCTGCACTCAAGCCAGAAGCTTTGGTGAGGGCTGCATTTTCCTGGTGGATTTGGCAAACTGTCAAAAAACTCATTATGGTGATGGCAGCAGAAATGACAGCACACATTTTCAATTGATCCTTTTTACTCTGTTGAAATAAATTCTGATGGCTAGAAGTCTCATGAAGTGAATGACTGGCCTGAAAAAGATGTTTTTCCTCTTAATCTCATGGAGATTTTTGACACTGTCTTTACAGAGCCATATCAGCTTTTGCTTCTTCCCATACCAGCTTCTGTTTCTTCCTGGTTTGCAAATAAGCTATCCCAGCAAGAGAAACCTGTGTGCTCTGTTTTTATTAAACTGAAAGTGTTATTCTTGTCTCTGCTCAGTATTCTTAAAATGCCTTTTGAGTCCATACAGTGAAAAAAATGTATCCTTAGAACAAGGTTTCCATCTCTCATTTGAACTCTTATTTTAAGAGACTAGCCAAATATGTCCTGTTTCAGCAAAGGGAACAGATCTTCTAACTGGTTTGCAGCTATTTTTGAGTGGACTGGGCTATTTAGATTATAGGTAAACATATGGGAGACTTGAAAAGCCTGAGACATGAATCTGAGAGGAACTGTGACAAGGTCTGTCAAGAGGGCAGGCTATGAAGCCTCTTCCCACAGCAGTGTGCAGATGTGCTGTGCCTGGGAAGTGTAGCAGTATCCCATGGACCTTCTTTTCTTGAGGCTCTACAACTGTCAGCCCACCACTAAAGTCCTTCAGTCCTGTGCAGATCCATGTGGATCTCTAAGCAGGGTTTTTTGGAGTCCGGCCTAGGGATGCTCATGGACATGGTGAGTGCACTGGGCAGTGCCTGTGTGGTTAAGGGCATGATGGTGCTTAAAGGAATGCAGGTGCTTTGCCATCTAGCACATTCCTTTCCAAGGAAAACAGGCCTTAGAAAGCTGCTATGGACCGTTCACCTTCATCTCCTTGGCAGCTGGCAGTCAGGAGGGCTCCTGTGGGACATCTTAACCAGCACTTCTGCTGTTCCAGTGCTGCTGCTACCACTGTTACCTCAGGCTCCTTAATGCAATGCCTGCATTGCCTGCACTGCTCTTAGATTAGGCCAGAGCAATGGAAAGAAAATGCAAGGAAGCATCAGCACAACAGTGAAAATCACTGCAGAGAGAAGGCTTTCAAAGCACCAAGAAAAGCAGACTGAAAAAGAAGAAAAGTGTGCCTTGCCCCTATGCTATTTAAAATACAGTAATCCCATAGTAACAGGGACAGTATTTTTCTGTGAAACACAGACTTTTAGACTAAAGATGTTTCTTTTAGCATTCATTTTGATGTATTGTCTCAGGCAAAAATCCCAATGAAAACATAATCCTGCTCTATCAATTTGCAAATGTATGCTAGATAAGGGACTTGCAAAAGGTTCCTTTGAGACATATATCAGAGATATGTGAGAGTTCTGATTTTCACTCTCAGAAAAATTGTGATGGCTGAGGGCCCCCAGGAAGACATTTGATACAGAATCCTGTCATTCCATATGAAAAAATAATCATCTTTCCTAAATGAAAGTGAGAGTTGTCTGCTGGCTTTTTGTATCTAATCACTCTACATCAAAGGAACCTCTCAACAAAGCAAGAAAATATTCTCATCTACTTCAGTTTCAGACATCAGCTGAACATGTTTCCAGAGACTACACGACAAATCCCATCCCACTGGGAGGAGCTCCTGGTGACCAGTGCAATGCAGAGAGACCAATGCACTCAGTGCACTCAAAACAACCTGGAAGAAGAGAAAAGGGTGAGAGCTGCCTTACGGGAAGCTCCATCACAGAAAAGGCAGCTTTCTTGGTTTAAAAATTGCTGAAAGTCTATGGTACAGAAATAACTGGTTTTCAGGCTCTTCACTTCCATATGTTATAAATACAAAGGTAGATTTGGGTTAAATAAAAACAATTTATTATAAAACAATTTCTATAAAAAAATAAACAATGAGGGAAAACCACAATAAAACAAACAGCGCAGCGCTGGGTGGACAGGGGTCTATACTCAAAGGTATAGGTGTTCCCAAATCCACGCAGGAGGGTAAACTGTCCGGGGTTTTTATAGGGATTTTTAGCCTTGAGGCCAAATTCCAGGCAGGCACCATTCATCAACAGTCCTTGATTGTCGTATGACTTGATTTCCTGGCATTGGAGAATAGAGTCGAATGGACGTCCGGACCGAGTCTCCTCATATGTAAAGAAATTCTGAGTGGCTCTTGTGGTTCAGGCCATCCGGATGGGATGGCTGGATCCGGGTTGGAGCCGATGGATATTTCGGCTGGATTTTTCCTTTTGTTTACTTGATGGCTTCCCCCAACGGTAGCCCGCAAGGCGAGGTGTTCGGGTCCGGTGATGAATATCTCGTCGGTGCCTCTCCGTTTTGGCTTGATGTTTCGTGTCCTGCCTATTCTTCCCCGTTGATGGTCACCGAGCCTGTCCTTGTCAGTTTGAGGAGTTTTTTTTTTCTGTCAGCTTGATGGGCCGCGTCCTGTCTATTCTTTTGTTGATGGGCGCCGGCTAGGATCGTTATCCTTTGAGTGGGAATTCGTGGCTAGATCTGGGAAGGGCTTGTGTGTCATACTGTACTTTATATTTTATATCATTATTGTTATATACATTTATTTAGATTTTTACGAATTTTTACAAGTTCGTTTCTCACACATAATTGCTTTTTGTGTGGTCCCTCAAAATTGGGTCCCTCAAAATGAGGTGAGATTATAAGCATCATGAAGTTGAGTTTCTGGTTCAGTCTGAAAGGAGGAGGGAGCCAAACCTCCCAAGCAGTGCAGAGGGATTGCTGGAGAGCCGGGCTGAGGGCTGTGCACAGCCAGAGTGCTGCTCAGGGTTGGATATGTGTGCTGACAGAATGCTGCCCTACAGTGATCCCCAAACTGCAATTTTGTTTGATGATGGCATCATGGCTGTAAAAGACAATGCTATGATTTGATACTGACATAAATATGAAGAGGAGGCAGAGTATTTCATTCTCTAGCCTTGCTGGCAAGCAGATCTGGGGTAACTGGAAAAAGCTTCCAGCTTTGCTGGTCCTAGTTTTCACTACAGAAAATCCAGCCACCAATATTTTCATTTCATGTGACATGAACAAATTTGTGGCCTTGTTCTGCCTGTTGGTAGATCTCCTTGCCTGGAGGTTTGTGCTTCCTGTTGGCACAAAGTGCCTTCCCAGGCTCCTTGACAGCAGTGAGGGGTCCTGCAGCCCCCGGGGTGTCTCCTCCTCCAGAGGAACAGGCAGTCTCCTGGCTTTGGCTCCTTGTGTTTCCTATGTACTACTTTAGTTCTTTTGGGATTCTTTTTGTTTTTTCACGAGGAGATATACAGCCAGAAAAACAATAATTGTCAGGTTGTTTACCCTGCCTGGGGGAGAGGAAGATTTGTAAGGAACAGAGGATCTTTTCATGCAAATATTCCATGGGGCTTCTCATGGCACAGACAGGGAGGTCCTGCTCCTCAACTCAGACACAGGAACAAAAAACAGACTATGTGAAAGACAACAAACTCTAGATTTGCAGCTGAGCTTTGGATCTGGTCTTGCTGAAGCAGTGCAAGTGCTGGTACTGGCCACTGGAGGAAGTGAGAAGGGCCGTGGTAGAAAGACAGGAGCATCACCCATTAGGCTGAGTCCCTACATGCAGCTTGTATCACAGCCTGCAATTTGTTTGCATTACTTTCCCTTGGTTTTCAGTGCAAATCTAAGTCTGAATAAAACAGTACATTGTTAGCACTTCAAAACTTTCAGGGAAAGGAAAGGATCTCGATAACAGGCTTTATTTTTTCTTTTCTTTTTTTAAACAGTGCTGCACTACACAGATTCAAGCTGTGTAAATACACCGCCATATAAAAATGTTTTAAATCTTTCAGTAGAGTGATGTGCCTCAAGGGCAATAACATTTTGGAGAAAGCCAGCGATGTGGGACTCTTACTAGCGCCACGAGAAAACACAGCCAAAGAAGCTATGTATAGAATCATCATCTACTCAGATAAGGTTTATCTATACTAGCATGAAGACAGCTAGTATGATTCTAATAATACAGACCTCACTGGGATTAGGCGAACAAAATACCTTCATAATATGTGAGCTGGTTCTTCATAATAACATGATTTCAAAGTAGATTAACTTCTTATTGTGGAGGGACCCTGCCTTCCTTAAAAGTACACTCACTGCCTGCTTGTTCTAATATACCTATTTGGTTCAACTGTAGTTAATCATAATTAATTGACAGAGTTCAATTAATCACATTTATCAGCAGGTTAGTTGCTGTGCTCGAGCCCAACAGAGCTCCCAGGGAAGAAATATCCATGCAGCCTATTGCTCTGGAAGAACTTGGAGTGGATATTAAGCTGTAGTTTGAATTGTGACACAATCTTTGCCAAATGAAATAGCATTTTATATCCAAGCAGTTTACAAGATTATAAACCAGTGCTGCCAGTTTTCCATTCAGTGTCTCAGTGCAACATCACTTCAGTTTGCTCTGAAGGAGGGAGCCGAGGGGTGCCTCTGGGCAGCACCTACCTGCACGATTTCCAGCATCTCTGACTTACTGATGTAGCCGTTCCCATCAAGGTCGTACATGCTGAATGCCCACTTCAGCTTTTGCTCCAGTTTTCCTCTCGACGTTACACTCAGGGCTATGATGAATTCTCTGAAATCTATTGTTCCGTCTCCGTTGGCGTCGAAAGTGCGGAATACGTGCTCTGCAAACTTAGAAGCGTCCCCGTAAGGAAAAAAGTTTCCATATATTTTTTTAAACTCCTCCATAGATAAATGTCCACTTGGACAGTCTCTCAAGAAGCCTTTGTACCACTCCTGGATCTCATGTTCTGTAAAGTCTGTGCTTTCTAGCAAATCTTGCATGACTTCAGGGCGTAGTTTGCTGTTTTGCTTTCCCATATTGGAGTTAAAGTATTACCTGCAGAGCGAAAACAAACACATATGAATTATGATTAATTATTGATACTGATTAGCTTGGATGCTGTAGAAGAACAGTGTGCTGTATATTGAGTTTTCTGATGATAGTTAACTCTTGGGTATCAACTGAAACCTTCGACATTGTCCAGTACTACATGTATAGTCTGAAAAAATTAATAAACTTAATCTACATGTTGATTTCATTGTCTTTTAACAGTCTGGAGAACAGTAACTACACTGAATTTATTGCCATCCTATTTTGCCCTTGAAATCATGAGGCAAGCAATGGATGCTGCAAGGTAGAGCTAAGCGGTGCTGCAGCACACCCCCCATGCCACTCACCCAGCTGTCCTGAGGACCTGGCCTAACAAAATACAGATTTGGTATCTCTGGGGGAACCAGGCTGGTACAAAGGCCTATGTTCCCTTGGTCTTGTTCCAAAATGGGATAAAGGTGCTACCGCAGTGTATGCTGAAACCAGTAGCTACAAAGCCCTTCCACACATATCTTTATAACCGGAAAGCAACTCAGAAACTGCCTCTTTGCTTTGGCATAGACAAATTTCCATTTTACTTCAAAATAAAGATTAAATCTGAAGAGATTTTATCAACGGTGGATTCCCCCACTCAAACTATTACCGTGGTTTTTAATCTTTCTTCTAGCCAAAAACTGGATCTATTACTAATAGTAATCCAGGTGGTCAAAGCTCTTTGAAAAAACTTCTTAAAAAAAAAAAAAAAAAGAAATAAAAGAAAAGAAGAAAAAAGGATAAAAAAAGTACCCAGACAATGAAATTTGAAATTCACTTCACTTAAGTTAACCATTAAGAAGTATTATTGGATAGAGTCTCTATTAAATCACCTTAATTATATTTCATTTGAGGCAAGTTGGTACATATCACATTGTGCAGCACATTTGCTAATGACGGATGCCTTTGGGTTCTAAGTTTTGGAGCCTGAGTGTGTTGGCTCCAAAAGGCAACCTCAGTTTTACTGGAAGCTTAACATTACGCTGATCTGTGGGAAGCACTTCCCTATTGACAGAAACCTGTCTGAGAATTTGTCACGCAAATGACAGTCACAACTAAGATATGATGTATGGATAACTAAAGTAGAATTGCAAAATAATTTCAACATGACTCACACTGTTGTCAGAATGGAGTCTCTGGCCCAGAGATGGATTTAGTAATGATGACTGGAATGGCTAATGAGCATTCAGTAAAATGTCCTTTCTTAACCAAGATATTACTTTTAAGAGACAAAGAATAACACAGTATGGATACATGACAGAAGCAGCTACTGAGAAATGTACCACCATTTGAAGCTGATCTACTGTCTCTTCTGTTTGGCACTGGGAAGAGGAAACTGAGGCTCCTCTAGGTTGATGTACTTTTTTTTTCTTGTGGGAAGCTCCCTTTCTCCCCAGGGACTTTGAACTCCCCAAAGCAGCTAGAGGACGGATTCCTTAATTTCCTGTGTTCTTGGACCAGAATGACCAAAAATCTGTATTTCTCAAGTGTAAAACTACGGGATCCATCCTAGATCCATCTGTGTCTCCAGGATTCACTGGTGGCTGTCTGGTAACATATAGCTGTTGCCTTTTTCCCAACCTGGAAATGAAACTTGAGATAATTTTAGTAAGGAGGTAATATAGGAGCAGATATTTATTTGAAGGCCTTCAGGAGCATTTATGGAAAGATGTCCACAAAAGTCCACCCCCTCTAGGGCTGAATACATTGTCTAGGTTATAGGAAGTTAGCATAATTGGTAAAAAGCACCAATTAGGAGGACAAGTGGTGATGCAATTTTCCTTCAGGTCAAGCCCTTTCTTTGGTGTCCTCAGCACTCTCGGCCTTGGTTCCCAGGAAGAACCAAGATAGCATTGGGGCCCTGGGGCTTGGAGTTCTGGAATTTGGTCTTTTTTCCTAGGGAAAGGCTATGGAAAAGTATTGGGAAAACTAGTCACTAATACAACAGGCTACAGAGTTACAAATACATGTGCAAAGGATACAGCGAACATAAAAACCCAAATGGCATCATAGTTTGGTAACTTTATGTCCTGTCCAAACATATTGCCTACCCAGTTCATGAAGAACAGCCTTCCCTGTTCACAGACAGGAGGATGGGAAGAGTGAAGAATCCTGCCCCACGGGAGCCTATCCATCTCCTGACAGTTTCAGGGGCTTGGTTGACTATGTTGACCAAACAATATCGTTTCCTCCAAAGTGTCTCCAGAACACTTGAAAAGCGGAAGATGACATCTCAAAGGTAATTTTTTCTACTGCCTTTTGTCTTTTCATCCTGATCAAAACATGCTGTACAGTTTTTAAGCAATCCAAGCTCTTAATGCCCTGAAAATAGCAAAAAAACTCCTTGTTTCATGGGCCTGGTCCAACAGCTGCTGAGGCAGCTGAACGCTGTGCTGCCTTCCACAGGTGTTGGACAGGACCCATAATATACAACCTGGGAATTAGCTGAGGGAATGGATTACATTAGGGCAGCCAGAGGGCTTTATGTCAGGCAAAACAACATGATCAGGGTCTGCCAGTGGGATGGAAGAGCAACTGGACGAGGGAAGTGGTCAGGCTCAGTTTATAGTGGCACCAGTTTAACACAAAACCCCCAGTAAAATCCCCAGTGTAGGTAGCAGCTGCCCACACCCCTGGCCAGCAGCTCCTCCACAGTGCCAGGGACAGCACACTTTCCAGACCAGAGAGTAGGGAGGGAAGATTGCTGACTAAGGTGCAAGCCAGCTGTGGTAGGAATGAGCTAGAATTAGCCATATAATCCCCTCCTGCTTTTTGAATAACTCAAACATTTGAAAATGGAAAACTCAGCTTGCACATTTCTAGTCCAGAGTGTTCTGAAAAATGAAATAGTGAGGTAAGATGCAGGCAGTGTCCTTCAAGAGATGGCCAATAAGACTATATTTCACTCTAAAAAGTAATGCCTTTATAGCTGCACAATGCTGTAGGTGTAACATATTTTCACCAAATAATAAAAATAAATAAATAAATAATAAATAAATAAATAATAAAAAGAGTTGAGCGCACTGCCTCGCAGAACATCACAACCAGAAAAACCTGTATTCTCCAGGCAGAAAGGGAGAGCTAGCCATATGTGACTTGCAGTACAAAGTTGAAATCTACAGCTGTTATGATGCCAGGTGACGCAGTCAAAACGCATTATTCCTGAGTCACATTTGTGATAAATTTTTATCATGTTCTTTGCCCTCCAGATTGTTCCTTTTTAATAGGTGGTGTTCTAGAAATTGCAGCTATGGGATTTATTTTGCCTATTCTATCAATAACAGATCAAAATCCTTTTGCAGTGCAAGTACAGGAAATCACTGAAGACACTTGAAGATCCTTACAATCACTTCACAGACTGCTGTCTGACTCTTCATGATAGATTAGATTTTGGGCAGAGTGCAGTAAGCTAAGAGGATGTCAGCTAACAATGACAGCAATAAATGCAGAGAAAAGAATAAAACTGAAACTGATTTTAGGCATCTTTTCACACTTTATCATTCCTGTAGACCTTTCAAATTTATAATAAATTATTAAAAGTCCAAAATACAGCAAGTAAATAGTGAACAGCAATCACAATGGCAAAGTAAAATACTGACAATACTGAGAAATAGATGATGTAGGAGCACAAAAAGAAAGACAAATTAAGTGGTTAATAAATATGCATTGCATTTCTGCAATTTCCTCCTCTGATACAATGGTGTTAGATATATATTAATGACTTGCTACATAGAACAACATCTCAAAATATTAAGGTACTAGTCCTTAAGGCAGTATTTTTTGGTAAAAGAAGGTGATGTGTTTATGGCTTGAAGGGTTGATACCATTTCAGCCAACAGCTACAGAATATCAAGAAGTAAAGTGTCACTGCTGTGCAGTTGCTATGGAAAGGGCCCCTGCTCACTGGTTATTGGAGGAAATGTCATAGGCGATGCTCCTTAAAGGAAATACTTAAAGCTTCTCTATTCAGGTCCAGGTGTGGAGTTTTTAGGATGAGGATGACAGAGTTGTTTGACAGACAGCTGGCCTGTGAGGATTCAGATAAGCAGAGTGACACAGCACCACGGCTCTCCTGCAGCGCAGCACATTTGCTGTGTGCACAGGACAGCGCTGCTGTCGCAGCTTCTCCTCACACAGCGAGCTCTGACTGGGCAGAAGGGCAGTGAACACCTGTGCTACCACACAGCAGCTTGCTGCTGCTCACACACAGCTGTTACCTCAATCTCAATCTCTCTGAAACCTCAGAGTAAGGCAAACGCCGCCTGCTTAAGCAACAACCTTGCAGGAGCTGGAAAGCTGCAGCGACCACAAGCACGCAGCTGGCCCACTGCAACAAGTGCAGTGCAATGCATACAGACATGAAATGCAAACATCTAAACACATTTCCTCCAAAAAAAATACGTGTTTTCTTTTTTCTGTTGAAGGTTTGCTATAATAAGCAAGTTCTAGCAACACATTTCTAACAGTGCTTTTACTCTTCAAACTTGACACCCATCATATAAAGAAAACTCCATGCATTTTTTCTTTTTTTTTTTGTTTTTATTTATTTAGCTCAGTCTGCCAAAGACAACAAGACTTCTTAGTTTTCATTTAGGCTTAAATCTGAGGGGAAGTCCCACACTGGGAAAAAGTATTATGAGAAGGGGGCATTTGTGCAGGGAAGTCTTTCTCTAAAACTGGAAATTTTAGGCTATTGGGTACTTCATAGATAACAGGGTACAAAGCATCTCAAAGGTTTAAAGAATCAGTTTGAAAACAAGTCCTGCCTGATCTGTTCCCAGTGGGAACAGTAAGGTGAATCACACCATAGGCTTAGCTACAGACACCAACTCTTTAAAAATGAGAGCAGAAAACTTTTCAGAAAGAAGCAATGAAAGTTCCATTTTGTGATTTTTGTCTTCAGAAACTTCTGTTTGTTGGTTTCTAACTTACAGTTTGGCCTGTTTCCAAGAAATAATCCACTTATGGGTGCA